CCCCCCCCAGGTTTTAGTAAATTCACTTTTCAAAGTACAATAGTGGCACAACTGGAAAATGTAAATGACTAATATAGATTGTTTTCTATACACTTCAGTCTGAGCCAGTGCAAATTATGTTTGTATATGAATTGACAACTGAAGAAAAGCAACTAACACAGGCAAATCCTTTTTTGCTACACTTAAAGTCTGGTCTTACTGGTAAGATCTTATGTCAAGCAGATACCATGTGTTTTAATGCTGCACCAAACACATTGAAGTAAAATGTGCTACAATGAAAAACCAAGCCAAAAATGGTAGACCTCTAATGTTACTGTATTATATACAGCCAAAAGTAAATTCCACACTGGACTGTAACTAATTCCAATTAATTTAAGGGGACAACAGAAACCTCATTTTAGCATGAATATTATTTTAAATTGAAAATAGTGAAAGGTGTCATTATGCAACACACACCTGTTTTTACTGCACATCACTTGTTTGGAATGAAATGGTTTACTTGAAATTATAGTGTTGTTTATATTTATAGAAAATATTTAAAATCTTTTGGCAATCCAGACAGTACTCGTACAATAAAATTATTAAATATATAACTGGGCCTGATGCTTCTTGTGCCTTGATGCACTTTATTTTACTACAAGCAACGCAATTCAATTCAGAGAAACTCATTTAACTAGTCGCCAAACTGCTGTCTCCTACCTGCATGAATGCCTATTATCACAAAAATAAAAGCTGTTCTCTAAGACTTTCTGTAAGCCAAACAGTTTACACAAGGAATGTGAATACAGCTGGCTTGGTCAGAGTCCTCCAAGAGAAGTACCTCTTCTGGGGTTTATGTCAGTCTTGAACAATAATGCTGGCATCAACTATAGTCAGTAAAATGGTACGGATTTGAGAATTTCTGAACAGATACTACCTCTATTGCTAACGTGTTAACAGCCATTGTTGTCCATGTGTGTATAGTGTAGTGTTGAAGTGGTTGGTAGTACTATGGGGTGCGTGGTGGCCCAATGAATGTATGGTGAGGGCCACCCTGCTGTTGCCTAGTTGTTTGGGGGGTTTTGTGGGGTTTTTTTTATTTATTGGGGGGGGGGGGTCATAGCCTTCAATACAAACCATTTGTGCTCAGAACACAATCAGTTTTCAACCTTGAGAGAAAATCCTTCCCCAGAAGACAAACTGCATGATAAAATAATCTGGAATCCTAAAAACTATTCTCGAATTCTCATCTCCTGTACAGCTGTGAACAATTACCAAGGTTTATCATCTACTGTGCAAAATTATGAACAGGCTGTAGACAAATGAATTATTTCTACTTTCTCTCCTTTCTCATGCTTGTTCTAACATAAAATCATGTTAGATATCTTTTAAAGGAATAACAAATTATTCATGCTAAACGAACTCTTAAGGAATTGCTCTAGTGTTTTAAAATGTCATCATTTTTAATTATTATTTTTAGTGCTGTTGCTGCCAATCCATTTTATGGAGAAAACTTATCTAGTAAACTAAAAAAAAAACAATTTTGGGAAGCTTTAATGCTCTGTATTTATCAAGAGACTATTGTAGGGAAGTGTCCTTGACAAGCCTGGCTGATGTTTTGACAAACCAGGCAAAGCTCAGGAAACGCTGTACTTTGGCCTAGGGAGCTTTTCTAATATTGTTCCTTGTAAGAGAAAAAGTTTACTGACCTTTCTTTACTAACCATCTCAAAGTAATTTTTACCATTTTGACCCATCTATCTTTAACAAGATATAGACATACTTGTTCTTCTGAGGTAGGTGACTCAAAGAGATACAGGTTATCTATTAGCCAAACAACTGCTTAAAATTGCCTGTTGAGGTAATATGTAACTAAGTTATATCTTGCCTTTTTTTTAATGGCCACCTGCTACTGCTTCCATGTGAACAGACCTACAGTATTATTCATTTGCTCATGGTTCCTTCCTGTTTTAAGTCCTTGTGAAAAGGCATTTAGCAGAATTTGCAGATTAATTGGAATCTGACAGACCACACTGTGAGTGCTTCTGCTATGGCCTCAAACTTGCAATCTTTGGGCTGTCAACTGTGTGCCTTAGTGCCAGTGCCAGCCCCAGCTCATGGTTATGATTGATGACCGGGGTGGATAAAATTATTTTTTTTAAATCGGATCTTTTTGCTTCAATTGTATTTTTTTTAAAGATTTTTTTTTTAATAAAGCTATATAAAGATGGTTTTACTTTAAGAGATGTTAAAGCTCAAAAATATCAGGGAATATAGATTATAACTTCCAGTTATATACTATTTTAGACAATATATTCATGTAACCTTTTTAGAAAAGTTTTATAAATAGGTCACAACAGGCCATGGACTATATTAGCGGCCCAATCTTATGGGGTTCCTAAAGGGTCCTCTTATAGATTAATATAGATTAAAGAAAATAACTCTACCCAATGGGACTCGCTGCTCAGTCTAGAAGATCCCATTAAACATCCCTGTGATGCTTAGTTTCACTTCTCAACTTGTAGAGTTCTGTCTCCAGAGATAACATCCTTGTTAACAGCAGTATATGGAGATGAAAGATAAAAAACCTGATTACCTACCCATCAGCCCTCTTGTCTTTCTGCAAGTTTCTGTACACAAAGGCAAGGCCTTGCCTCTCTCTAAAAGTACAAAGTTTCAAGAAGTTAAATGAATAGAGGATTGTTGGGGGTGGAGTAGATCTGGGTGAGGAGGAGGAGTCTGGAGATAAATGTGAGGAGAGGAGGGGCAGTTGAAACAAAAGTGAAAAAAAGAACAGAATAGTCCAGAAATCTTGAGGGATAAGTTTCTGAGTATAGTCTCCATTGACTTGAGATCTAGTGAGGGAATGGCATGGTAGAAGGGAAAACCTAGCATGGCAGCAGGCTTGCCAGGCTGTAAAAGAGACCCTGTTTGGGAATTCATAGATTCATAGATTCTAGAGTCAGAAGGGACCTCAACAGATCATCGAGTCCGACCCCCTGCATAGGCAGGAAAGCCTTCTCTTGCAGAGGCTGAAGAGGTCCAGGTGCCCCAGTCTCTCCTCAGAGAGCTTGGCCTGCAAGCCCTTAACCATACGAGTGGCCCTTCTCTGGACCCTCTCCAGGTTATCCACATCCCTCTTGAAGTGTGGTACCCAAAATTGCATGCAGTATTCCAACTGTGGTCTGACCAGCGCCCGATAGAGGGGAAGTATCACCTCCTTGGATCTGTTCGTCATGCATCTGCTGATGCACGATAAAGTGCCATTAGCTTTTCTGATGGCTTCATCACACTGCCGACTCATGTTCATCTTGGAATATTTTGATGAAGTTCCTCTACCAGTGGGTAAGACAGACGTGTGCAAAATGCAAACAGGGCAACAAAGAAATGCAAAGCCCAGCTGCCTGAATGAAACAACATCTTGAGAACTGCTTTTTCTCAGGAAGAAGCTGCTTTGAAGATGATGAATGGAACATGTCTGAACATGCAGGATCTCCAGGTTAGTAAACTTTAGTAAACTTTCTTATTTCATACTTCTTTCTTAAGGACTGCCTGTCTTTACTGTCCATAACTTTTGGGTGGACTTCTGGGCTACTTGAATTCTCATAAAAATGTTTGAGCAAAAATATAGTTGTTACTTTATGGAACTATCATATTTTAATGCAGTTGTGATATAAACTAATTGCTGTAATAAGCAGATCTTCCTTGGACAGTTTCACTTCTAAAGTAATACTGAGTGCAATGACCGAGTAATACTAAATGAGCTGTACTGTAGTGACTGCGTTGACTTCTTTTGTTCAGGAGGATCCATCCACAACACAGAGGATTCTGACTATCCATCCTCAACATAGTCATCACTGTCTACAGTTTCAGAGTTATTTGCTAATGATACCAGTGTTCCAGTCAAATGTATGTCACCGGTAGCAAAAAGGAAAAAAAATCTCATTCATTCAGAGACAACCATAGATAAGTTTGTAAGAAGAATGAGCAGATTACAGCTGGAGATAACTGATGAAAAAAATTGCTCCGTTTGTTTATGCAACAAACTCTCCTTTCCGTAAGGTTGAGAACAGATACTTCATTGACATGGTTCAGTCATTATGATCAGGATACAGTCCATCCAACAGAGCAGATATAGCAGGCAAATTGCTGGATGAAGTGTATGAGAAATTGAACAGTGTGCAAAAAGTCTAGAGGGGAAAAATGTTAACCAGCATCTTGATGGGTGGAGCAATGTCCACAATGATCCAGTAATATGTGCTTGTATAACAACAGAAGAAGGGACTGTGTATGTTACAGAAATAACTGATACATCAGGAAATGCACACAGAGCAGAATACTTGCAAGTAGTAGCAGTAAAAGCTATAATAAACTGAAAAATAATGCAAATGTCTAGTACGCTGCTGTCACAGACGATGCTGCAAATGTATCAAAGATGAGAAAAAATCTAAAAGAAAGCGAAGAAATCCCCAAGCTAATAACATGGCTGCAGTGCTCATTTGATGCACCTCTTAGCTAAAGACTTCAGTGCTCCAGAAATAAAGGCTGATGTTGAAATTGCAAAAGACTTCCATAACAACCACTTTGCAGCAGCTGATCTGAAGAAAGCAGGAAGAAACAAACTAACTGTCCGACAAGACGTGCGGTGAAAGTCGGTAGTGGACTGTTTTGAGCGATATACTGAGAACTGGCTCAATCTGATAATTTGTGAACAAAATCATGACAAAATAAATGGAACCGTCATAGCTAAAGTTCTCAACATTAGGCTAAAGAGAAATGTAGAACATATACTGACTATCCTGAAGCCC